GAGAGTAACCTCGGAAGTGAATGTAAATCCTCGTTCATTCAGTTATCCGGTGTCAAAGTGTGGAAGATGTCCAACGTGTACTGAGGGCGGGAACTACGAGCGTTTTGCCTTGCTTTTATAACCGAAACCAGACCAACGAGATAACTGCTTTGCGTACTCTAAAATGACGGAAGCAATAAGTTTCAACAGGTCGAGTACGTCACCGGGGATGTAGGCGAGACGGTGCACACTGTTTAAACGCTTGCAGTATCCACGAGTGGTACCAGGAAAGCGACGCGACGTCAACAGAGAAGGAGCTCGCGATTCAGCATAATGCACTGCTACGGGCCCGTGTATCTTCAACTTTCGGGGTGGTGGCAGTATAAAAAAAAAAAAAGACGCATCAGCGCCCCACACCTGTGTCCACGAATAACACCGGTCACAAACTCCCGAGCCCCATCGCTCTTCTCAACACCGACACGACATACGACAACAAACTGCATCAAAACGCCCCAAAAGTGAAGGCGTCTGCTCCCGTACTGCAACTGCTGCAACTAGCGGAAGTAAAGTGTTGGGCGGATGTCCGGATGTCCTTCACAAAAATATATAAAAAATGCTTTGCGCAAGGATCATTTTCATTTATTATTGTTTACGTAATGACAAAATCCCAATAATTTGTTTTCCTATCTGATTCAAGCTAGTCGGACTGCTCATAACACTGGTCATGCAAGAAAATAACAAAAATTTGAACTTTTTCATGACCGGTTTAAGATTTATTGTTAACATATCGTTATTTATTGCAACGGACTAACATTATAGATTTTGCCTCCATACTTTTTAAATGCAAACAGTACTAACACACGGCTGTCCATTGCGCCGTGTTTTGCGTATTCTTCTATAAATCTGTAATGGTCAGCGACCAAAGAGCTCACCCGCACATGTCAAGCTTATATGCGCCGCGGGGAGGAATAGGTATCGAGTAGGAAGTGTCGGGCGTAGTGTCGGTTGTTGTGTTTGTGTACATGTTGGTGCTGTGTAGCTGTGTGCTGTGTTGCCTGCGTTGTATGTAGGGTTGCTGTGTAGTCGTGGTCGTTCGCAGTGTTAACGGACTCGTCTTTTTTTTTTTTTAAAAACGGGCTGCTAGAAATCTCGATAGGTGGCGCAAGTTACCGCCCGATTCTAAATAGTTTGCTCAAGCTATTTATCTATGTAAGTACGGCATTCGTTTTTTTTTTTTTTTTTGTTTAGCGGCTTGTTGAAGCTACTGACGCCGCCGACCGCCGACAACGCACGTACGTACCTTTGCAAGTAGCTACGTCCGCCGCTTGGAGACTTTACTGTGTATAAAAGACATCGAACGAGAACTAACGCGCCCTGTGTGCTTTCAATTCGGCTGAAAGGCGCGGCTCGCTGGGCTCGTCTCGCCTGTTCTCGGCCGCTGGCCGCCATGTTTCAGGAACACGCTCGAAACGGTTTTGCGGAAGGCAGACACGGTGTAGCGTGTTAAGTTTACACAGCACCTCATGTGTAGACGAAAAACACAGATGGCCTCGTGTAGAACGAACACGTTTCGACGTGTCCGCTATGGGACAACGGTTTACACGTCTGGGCGTGTTATTTTTGCTAACAGTGTATGGAAAGTTGTTAACAAGTCGCATTGTTGCGCTAACAGAGCGCAAAATTCATCCGCGGTTGTCGCTTTCGATGTACCCTTAATTCAGAAGAGCTAACGCGCGGAAAAGTTGTTTTGTCATATCAGGCGTGCAAAGAAAACGAAGTATTTTTTATATCTATAGGAATCGGTGTGAAGAAGGTCAGATTACCGCTAAAACTGCCTCCATCGGCGGACTGAAAGAATTTGAAGCTCTCGACACATAACCTTGTGAATATGTTGGGCATGGTTATAGTCTTCAATCTTACCTGATCTTCTAGGGCGTTCTGCTCTTCGTCTTTCTGCACGTAGCTTTTCGTATTATTTTATTAACACCAACATGTCCGTCGGGGACAGGTACAAAACGCGTTGCTCGTTCGTAACTAAGCAAAATCGAGTTTTCAAATTCATCGGGCTCTTTCAAATCCCCAAGATTCAAAGTGTTTAAATGTCTGAACATCTGGCAATTTGTTACGCGCGCTCGATGTTGCCGGCCACGAATATTAAGAAGAGGGTGTTGCACGAGAATGGGAAAATGGTGGCGACATCGTGCTTTCCTCCCTGGCATACATGTCACTTGAGGTGAAATGTCTGGAAAACATAGGGTCAGGTCTAAACAGCTGCAATAGGTAGGGCCACGAACAAAGGTTGGTGATCCGTCGTTAAGGACGCAAATGTTGTACTTGTCCAAATACTCGGCAATGACAATTCCACGTCAATCGCAGTGGTCACTTCCCCGCATTGTGTGGTGTCTATTGAAGTCTCCACATATTTTAAAAGCAGCATATACGCGACGAAATATTCCAGAGAATCCAAATGAAGTTATTGGAGTTTGAGGTTCAATGTACACGCTCACAACAGTAAGTGCAGGCAATTACCACACCAAACCTTGCAGGCGACAAATTCTGAGATCTCTTTTGTCGATGAGAGTAGATGCACTGATACCAGATCTACCAACTACCTTTTTGACGAGATGATTGGTAGTGCAAGTAGTTTAAGAGGCAAAAGTAATCGTCCACGCGAGCTTCGGTTAATGCAAGTATCGGTATAGTGTTCTGTTTAAGAAATTTACGAAAATCACCAGATATTTGCCGTAATCCGTTGGCATTCAATAATAGAATAATAATAATAACTTTATTTTCCATCCATCTAATGATGGAGGCCCCAAAGGGAAAAAAAGCTGCAGTATGCAACTTGACTGGTCCTCGGGCCCCTGACACAGGTCAGCAGCAAGAATGGGGATAAAATACAGAAAAGGCAAAGTATACAGTGAAACCGTTGCACATCTACGGTTGAACACATTTCTACAAACCAAGGTTCACTCAAGTGTAGAACATAAAATGAAAATAAAAAATCACGCACAAAAATATAAGCGCAGGTCCTTGAAAATTAGACTATCAAAATCAATATTGAAACATATCGAAACACTTAAACACTCCTATGTGACTGTAGAAATTAGGCATTAGAATACTCTTCATTCATCGGTGTTTGTGATGACTTAAGTAATCTTTCCATGGCGAATAGTGCTGTTACCTCCGGAAGATAGTTGGCCGCGGGCACGGTGCTGAGTATGGCCCTTAGAGCCGTGAAAAAGCATCGGTATACCAGCAAATGCGTGGCGTCGATCGATTTCCGTGTCTCAAAGTAATCCTCATGATTATCGCGTCGGCTCATATAACGCTTTTGTGTGCGGAGTGCTGGTATAACGGAGAGGTTTGATGTTTGGTCTATTGGGTTCGTTTGACTAGGAATCGTAGAGTTTAGGTGCGATGGAGTCCTGAACTTGATCTGGGCGTTTAGTTGGCGTTTTAGCACGTCAGAATACTGCGACCGTTGAGGCTGTTGAGATACTTGTGTCTTCTATGTTGATGTAGAGGGACGAGGGGGAAGTGGAGGTGGGGGAAAAGGTGGTGGAGGAGGCAGGGAGGGAGGGGGGCAGGTGACCTCTAGGAAAGAAGAACGATTATTTTGTATTGGTCCGTTCAGGATTGCATGCTTTCTGGCTGCAGCTGCTACCTTTGTGAGGACAGCGTGAAAACGAAGAGCAGTGATTGCCTCCACAATTTGCACACTTTGGATTAGTTTTGTCCATGCAGTCCTTCTAGCTGTGTGGTCCAGCGCACACCTTGCATCTCTGTTGGTCGTGACATTGTCTTGCGAGGTGCCCATGGATGTCGTTGGCATCGACAGCACAGTACCGGGGTCTCAAAGTACTCCATCACAGGATGACTGGTGAAGGCGAGTAGGACCCGTGCACGCATCGGTTGATTCCGTGGAAAGTGAAGCAGGACACTTTCTGTTGGCTGTAGCCCCCATGCTGCCGTCTTCTTTACTTGAATATGCAATTTTTCGCTGGACTGCAATGCCACCAGCGTCTTTGAGGTAGTCTAGCAGTTCGTAGCCTGAGTGTTAGACAGGAATGTTGTTGACTTTGCAAACATTGCGTGTGTATGACTCGGGCACGGTCACTGTCAGGTCGGTTCCAACAAGAGATTTCATCATAAGAAGTCCGTTCGTTGAGTTCAACGTCGCCGTGTTTACCGTTAGTGTGCCATTTTTCCTTATGCGTGGTGCTAATAACTTCTCTTGTGACACCGTCACGATTTCCTTTGCTGTTCTGTTACGGTTGGTTTTCCAAAATTAGGTTCCAGTTTGTTTTGGCTTGACGATCAGTGGGATTCCAGCGGGACGATTTTCCGCACTGTGACTTGAGCGAAGTCGTCTTCGTCTCCAAGATTGCCGTTATAAAACGATAAGTTGGTTGTTCTCTCCTCGTACATTTGTTCCGGGAAGAGATTCACGCATTGTTTCTTCCATGGAACGTCATCATTGAGGATGAGGTCGTTAGCCGTCAATTGCAGTCCTTGTAGTGGTTGACGCGTCTCCGCTGCCGAAATGTGGCTCGTAGTCGCGGCGGTATCTCTTTCAGCGTCCGAGGTCAAGGTCTGGTAGATCGGTTCACTGAAGCGGGGCAACGCTGTCGCAGTTGGTCCCTGTTTATGCGGCAGGGTTGTGCCGGTAAGAGCTCTGTAGGGTTCTGCGACTAAAGCAAATGTTGAGGTAGCCAAATTGAGCAGAATAGCATAAAATTTCAAGCTTACAGCAAGAGCGGCGGAAAATGGTGCTGGATATTCCAATCATGGTCGCTGTTTTCGGTATGAATGAAAATTAAATGTGTGCTTCTGCTGCAAGCGTTCCTTTTTGTGATCCAAAAGGCGCTGCTCCATAATGACTGAGACCAATCACATCACTCAAGTAGCCGACAACAACAGAAAAGAACGAATCCCGACGCTAAAAAAGTGTTTCTTAAACTCTCAATTTCAAGATTAAGACTCAGTTCGTCGGCGTTTTGCGTTTCCTTCTCGGGCAGGTGTGGTTCCAGAATCGGAGAGCCAAGCACCGCAAGCAGGAACGCCACGACGCCAAGCGACTCTCAAGTCTCCTGGCCGAAGCCAATTTTCTCGGGGAAGGCAGCGCTGACGCCGGGTCCCTGGAGGCAATAGGAAGTCTTGGGATGGACGTGCTCAAGGGATTCCTAAGTATGACTGTCAGCTGGCAAGGTTTACTACGCGTGGCATAGTTGTTGACACCTCGCTTTCTTTGAGATTGGTGGAGACACCATATAAAGCGTGTTCCTAGATTTCAAGTATATGGTCGCGGGCACGGTGGAAAAAGGGAGAGGCTTCGGAACAAAACCAGGAGGGTGTCGAAATTTTACTTGGGATTTGCGGCGAGATGTGTCGGTGGCGGCCTCCTATGATTTCCTCTCGTGTCGTCATTACCTCGCGAGCAACAAGTTTGGTGGTGTTTGTGATGAGCATGGTGGAAGCTTGAAATCATTGCACTCTGAAACCAAGGTTGCCAACACCGCAAAAATTGAAGTTCTTCCATTCCTCTTATTTCCTTCGAAAAGAATTTTTTTTTGCTGACGTCATAGTCAGCATTTGGCCAATCGTGGAAGACCGATCACAGCGACGCTTTCGATCGCGCACGTCGACAATACCGGCGGGGAGAGGAGACGAGCGCGGGCGAGGACGCCATAGGACCGAGCTCTATAGACGCTTTGCAGCAGCTGTGCATGGGCGCCGCCATAACTGACCTTCAGTTTTTGTTCCCCCTTATTACGTTCACTTCACTCCATTATTGCCATAGCAGGCCAGGTTATTGACATCTTAGATTTTATTCTGTCTTGCTCCCCAGCATTGGCCTTTGTGGAGGCTCGTCCACACCAATTTCAGTGGCTCGGTATCTCGGTAAAACAAGAGAAGGTCAGTAATGGCGGCTGTATTCTGGCGCGTGTGTAAAGCGTCTATACTTCGTCTCACCTTAGTATGGACTATTGTTAGCCGCGCGTGCTAAAAGCGCGAGCTAGTCGCTTTGAATGAAGCCGCGGCGGCTGCACGAGCGCTCGTGCAGCAAGTGATCTACTGAAGGCAGTCAGGGCTGGCCGCTCGCGCTAGCACAGCCTTCGCGGTTAGTCCATGCTAGGGTGAGACGAAGTATAGATGGATTCATTAGTTAGTAGCTAGATGCCTTTGTCTCTACTCAGAGCAGTGCTGTCTCTACTCACTGTACAGACGCGTTCGAATGCCAACGCCGGACGCTGGCCGCCGGCGTTCGGTGTTTGAATGCGTTCGAAAAGTGCGTAGAGGCATAGCCTCCTCTATACTGACAAAGCCTGGCAGATCGCCTCGAGAAGCAGCCGCCGAAGTTGAAAACGTAGAGTGGCAGACAACGAATGAAAGGAGAGCCACGTGACGGGAGCCCCGCTGCGGCGAGACGCCGAAACACACTTGTCCCGAGCGATGGAATGTCCGCTCGTGCAGCTCGCGTTCCTCGCGCTACCGCTTCTTTTCTCGTCAGGTTTGAAAACCATGTTTCGGGTACTCGCCGCTGCAAAAAGCTGGGTGCTGACGTCCAGGTTCCCCGAGAAATGCCCTGTGCCACCAAATCCTCGCGCTCCAAATCTGCGACGGAACACTCTATGGCTCCGTCGTCGAACTGCCAGGACTTGTGAGTACAGCGGAGGCTATGGTAGAGGTAAGGGCAGCTAGATTTGCCTCTACCCATCATTCCATCCGGAGTTTGGAGCCCTGGCATCCCCGCGCACTCTTGTCTCCCCCTCACCCTCGGTTTCTACCCTCATTGCCTAACGCGACCCATCAAACCGCGTGACCCCAATGGAGCAGTTAGAAACACTTTCATATCTAAGCACACTAATGCGCTGCAGAGAGCTTATAGACCTTCGCATCGCCTATCGCCCGGGTGAAGAATGCTGAGTCACTGAGCTGTGGACGCATGCGCAAGGTCTAATCTACTACACAGCAGAGCAACAGCGCATGCTCAGAAGGCGTTCCACAGCCCAGAACACAAAGATGGCAGCGCGCAGAAGGCGATATTGCAAAGGTCTCTAGATAGATTGTAGAGAGGGTTCATCTCAGATCATGGGGGACCGTTGGCAATTCAATAGTTCACTCCTCCTGCTGAGGTTGATCGCAAGCGCGCATGCGTTGTGTTGTGGGGTGGCGAGGAGGAAAAACGGGTGTAAAGGCGGAGACGTTTGCAGACGATCAACGCTTTCGGCACCTCCTCGCAGCTCGTATTGCAAACGCGGCCTATAAACCACGTGACCGCGGTCGAGTGGTTGGACGCTCTCTGAGATACAAGCTCTCTAATGCGCTGTGCCGACAGCAGCGCCACCGCAGCAGCGTGACGTCAGATCTGCGCCAGGCAGCAAAGCGCGCCTCCCGACCACTAATGTGTGCACGCGTAATAAACGAAAAAAAAAAAAAATTGTTAGGTGTTGTATGCTACTGGCGCGGTTATCGCTCCCATACGTTTCTATTTTCAATGCTCCTTCTGTACTACTACTACAGCGGAGGTTAAACGAAAGAGAGAATGCGCATGTACTAGTTCTCTTTTTTGTTGCGGCGCAGATGTCGTTTTCGTGGTGTCTGCAACAAACAACTGTATCCGCTGGTTTCGCGGTGCGTATGAAAGTGGTCCTAGTTAAGACAAAAGTGCAAGAAAAAAAAATAGTGCACAACAATTATTTTAAGTAAATACGGCGAGCAAATGTTCTAAAATGCGTCTTTGGCGCATCGGAAGGCAAGGAACTCCAATCAAAGGGCATCATAGAGAGAGCGCAGTGAACGCGCAATGAGGGGGTCAGTGGCCGAGTGGGCTAGCGTGCACCACCTCGGAAGACGGGGAGCGAAAGCTCGCGCTGCAAAACCCAGAGGAAAAAGATTGGGTTGTGTGTATGTTTATACAGTATAGAACCTGGTCTGCCTTAACTGGCGACGAGTCCCTCAGCTGCAGATGTGAAATTTAGCCAGTGCAGTACAACCGGTAGCCTGAGGTCTTTAACGTGCATTACGCAGCCCACTCGGTAACCGCAACCCCCCCCCCTCCCCCCCCCCCCCCCCCCCCCCCTCTGCTCAGCGTGTCTTCTGTAGGACGCGTGGGCATTGTGACTATACGGCTTTTATTGAACGGTGGTAAAATCAACCGTGAGTACTGTTCTTTGCAGACAGCTACACGGGCGAAACCTACGCGGATTCGAGCGAAGGCCCACCCGTGGAGCTTCCGAACGATGCTTCAAGCTTGGCTTCCTCCGCCTTTCGGACACACGCGTCTGACCAGGCCTCCGTCACTCTGACCCCGGCAGCGGGAATGCCCACTGCGCCGCCGGAGCCCAGGCCAGAAGCCGCCGACCTGCTTCAGATGGCCCTCGACTCAGCGGTTCAAGAACTGACGCCGCCATCTTCCGTCGTCTGCAGCAATGAGCGAGAATCCGGCCTCTCGGATTCCGTACAAAGCATGCTTGTTGAGATGTGTTTTCCGGATGTCCACGAGAGCGACCTCTAGCGCTAGGTGTCGGGGTAGGTTTAACTTATATAGTGACTGACCGAGTGAAAGAATAAACCGTGTCCTTTGGAACTGATTCGATGGATGTCAAAAACGGCGTTTGGTTTATTCGTTTGTGCGTAGGATGACTAGCAGAGAAAGGATGACCTGGAGGCACCCGAAGTATATAACATAGAGGAAGTGGGTACTTTTGCCACTGTTTCGAAGTTTGTCAAGAAGAACATTCAGGATGAGTCGCATGTCCGGAGCGTTATGTAGGCATGCATAAATTACATCGAGAATTTACCTTTCCAGTTTAGTTTCATTGTAAACAAAGTAACGAAAATAAGTTCTGCAGGGCTCACGTTGATGGTCAGGCTTGTAGTGGTATCCTCTGGCTAGGCTGTCCCTCTACCGCGAGATTATACTCAAGCCCAATTTGAGTGATAGCCTCTCTATGGTGATATAGCACTCCATATGCACTTTTGCTATGACGGCGGTCTTCAGGATCCCCATTATCACTCGATCTGTCAAATAGTTCAGAGACTGGAATCTAATTCTCGAGCTCCAGCTAGAGCCACTCTATATGGCAGCGTAGCTGCCAGAGTAGCGACACGACGCAAAATTATCTAGATGCACGACGTCAGATGCGCTCATAGTAATCTCCATTTTGGGCCTGGGAGGTTGCCATGGTAACCGTGCTTCTAGCGACGCCAGGCGGCAGCCTTTGTAGTCTAGTTGATATCTCCATTCGTTCATTGAAAAGTGGTATAAGACGCTTGGCATCGCAGTACGGCAAGAACGTCTGGAGGAACGGTGCCTGTTTTTTCTGGAAAGTGAGACGATTTGCAGCCCGGGGACTGTCGGGCGACGAGAGCTGCAATGGTATCGTACGTGCACGGACAAGGCGAGAGGTTTTTAGCGCCGCCGGGATGGCGGCCGCTTCCTGGGACGAACGTACCGTCCTAGTACTTTCGGACTTCGCTCCGATGGAACAAAATCCGACTACGCCGGCCACGACAGGACGATTGGCTCGGGACATGACTGCTGCTCGACTGCCCCATAGTGAGCGAGTATATATTTAGCATCATACTTCTTCAAGACCCGATCATCCCTTGAAGACGAGATTTTCTCACCGACTGGTGAGGAGCGACGTCGACGGGGTTCAACCAAGAGGGACGGCATGGTGGTCTCTAGGGAATCGTCGACGCCATCAAAAGAGACGGACGCCGAATATGAGGTGTTCTTGCCGACAGGCCAACTGGTTGTTCGGAAGTTTACCGGCATTTAAAAAGTCAATATTTTTATCTGGTGTAGCACACATATCCATGTTAAAGGTGCCACGAAATTATTTTTAAACTTCTTCTTCCTTACCTGTAATCTTCAACTCAAAAGAGAACTGTGAAATCACGCAGTCGTGACATGCTAGGGCACCGGTGCGATGACCCCAGCTTTCACCGTGCTTTTTAAGCGCACCGTAGAACTTGGCATTCGCAAATGATCATAACAGTGCGATGACCCCAAGCTTTCACCGTGCTTTTTGAGCGCACTGTAGAACTTGGCATTCGCAAGTGATGATGTTTTTCAGGACACACATTGGCCAGGAACTCGAATTCAAATATCCATGGACGAATTGATTGCTGACGAGCGCATACATCCGAGCGACGCAGTTTTCATGTCCAATGCGTCAGTTGGGATCGGCTTACGTCATTTTGGCCTTTGTAGGCATTGTAAAAAGGATATTTAGAACCATACACACCTGATGATAACGTCATAGCACACTGACATTAAGGAACACAAAACGGGCCCAGCCACAGAAAATAAATATTATGCTCGTAAAAATAAATACGTTTGTAACTTGTAAATTACAAAGACGAACACACCTCTGAGCATCTAAGTTTAATAGTATGTGTTGATGCGTTGTTATATAGACGCTTTACACACGCGCCAGATTGAGCCGCCATAGCCGCCCTTCTCTTGTCTTACCGAGATGCCGAGCCACTGAACCAGGCGTTGACGGGTCTTCACAAGGGCCTATGCTGGGCACAAGAACACAGTAGCATCTAAAATGGCAATAACCTGTCCTGCTGTGGTAATGACGAAGTGAAGCGAACGGAATAGGAGGGAACAAAAACTGAAGGTCAGTTATGGCGGCGCCCATGCACACCTGCTGTAAAGCGTCTATAGCAGGACATTTCATATACGTCAGTTGAGCAAACGCCAGTTTTTCACTTGAAAAACTAACCAAAAAACACTGCAATCAAATGCAAGCCATTGCAACGAAAGCAAGTTATATTAAAATCTCCAGAACTGCCAATTCGTAAAATTGTCGATTAGTAAAAAATATTAAAGATCTCAGGAGCTTCCTCGCTGAAAAATGCTGTGATTATTCCGTGCCCCAGGGCTGAAACAATTTCCCCGAGGCCCTACACGCGCCGTACACCTTTCGTTATGATTCTCAGAAATTCAGACTTTCAAAGGAAGCTAGAAAAATGCGAAAATTTTATCCTAAGAGCTATGTGGAGCGCTAGTTCGTCTGCTTCTTTTTGCAGGGGTTGTGGTGACGTCAGAACGCCGAGATCTGAGTGGCTCCGATGGAAGGAGAGTGGGTAGACCTCAAAGCAAGCTGCCTTGAGGCCTACGCACTATTCTTAATTCAGAACCAATCAGAGCTCTGCGTTCTGACGTCACCCCAACTCCTGCTAAAAGAAGCAGACAAACTTGCGCTGCGCATATCGTAAAATCGTTGATTAGTATACTTGGAAGTTGTGTGAACATTTATACAGCGTGTAGCTGGTCAACCATTTCAAAGTTGCGACGAGTCACTCGCTGTAGATGAGCAATTTAGCCAATGGAGTATAACCGCTAGCCTGGGGTCTATAGGTCTTTAACGTGCACCACGCAGTAGTGATACACAACCGCAGGCCGGTACGATGCTCGTCCAGATCGAAACGGGCAGGGGTGGGGATTGAACCCAGGTTCCCCGGTTGATTAGTACAAAACGTAAACATCGCAGGAGCTTCCTCGGCAAAAGTTTGTGATTATGCGGTTACCTGGGGCAAAAACAAATTCCCCAAGGCCCAACATGCGACGCATAGACATCGCATCGATTCTCAGACACTCCAACGTTCAAATAAAGCTAAGAGACAGTGATAATTGCATGCTAATTGTCTTATCGATCCTCAAACACATCCGGAAACCCGAGCACCGTTAAGGCGATATTAATGATGCTGTCGCACAGGCGCTAATATCCAGAGCGATCTTGCACAGAAAGGGTATAAAGTATAATTCTTTCAGATCTTCACGTTAAACCTACGTCAGAAAGCACGAAGAAGCCCTAAATTGTCGGCAAGCTGAGGCACATCACGACTAAGGGCACCGAACAAACTCGCATCCACCAGCTCTGGGCGCTGCCATATTACCGATGACATCACGGCTCTTGAGAGGTCACGTGACTAGTCGTCACTCGGTTGCTACGGTAACCGAGCCAGCTCAGCTCGTTGCTATGGTACCGTGTGTGACCAATCGCGGTGAGAGGCGGCACAAGGAAAAGCGTGGCGCTACTCTGGCAGCTACGCTGCCATATCGAGTGGCTCTAGCTCCAGCTCGTGTTTGAACCAGAAACGCTTTAAAGAAACCATTAAAAACAATTTCAAACTTTTTTTTTTGAAAAGGTTGTTTTTCTATTTTTTAGGGACCAGAGAATACGCTCAATCGTTCTTCTATACCTTCCCATGAAACTTATTATTTCCTATAAAATAAATCAACAAAACCTAAACTGACGTTCAGCTTTTCCACCATACCACTTCTTTTAAAGCGGTGGTGACACCAACAGTGAACCGTCGGTTTCGGTAGAATTTATTGATCACGAGCGCAGACGGCACGGTGAGCTGTAGCACCGCTTGGTGGTTTGAGAGCGTTGTACCAAGCTGTACCGCGTTGCGACTGCGAGTATAACCATGGACATTCGTTGTCAAAGCCACGTTCACGCGCACGCTGCATATGTATGCTTTCACGCAGGGTGCACCAGTGTATCTCTGGGCCAGTTGGAGTGAGTGCATGGAGCACCCCGTAAGACGCGCTCATGTAACGGTTGCGTCAATCACAAAGCGCCACCACAGCTCGATCATCAAGGAGGGAAACCTAGTCATAAAAAGATTAAACGATGTTGTGGCCAACGTGACTGTAGAGCTCTCTGGCAATTGGTGCGCGTGACATGTCACGTGTGAGATGGATGGTTAATTCTAGAAGGATTTCCTGCAGGCTTGCGCGCGCTCCGTCCGATAGGTTTTATCAGATCGAAGGCGAGACTGTGGTGTATTCTAGTACTCCATAGTTAGACGAAGACTGTCTACATATAGCTACGGTCACGTGATGTGGTCACGTTGGCCTGGTAAGTGAGGAGAGTGAGGAGGAAAATGAGAAAGAGGCGAGGCGTCATGGGTGCATAACTTGTGGAGGCTACGCGGCTGGCGTCATGCCCGCTCCTACCCTTCTATCCTCCTTGTCGATCATGCAAGCGTGCTTCACAGCATCTGTTCACGTTCGGTAAAAAAACGTAAAAAAAAAAAAAAAAAATTAAATTAAAAAGAAATGCAGCTTGCGTTGTCGTATTAAGACGATGAAAGTGCTTTTTTTTTTTCCCCGAAATTTGTATGTATTAATAAAGCGCGAGACACATGCGCGAAAAATCCATCCGATCCGACGTCCGATCCGGCAGTACGACTGCCTGATCCGAAAAATTTGGTCGCTACGTCGGATCGGCGATCCTTTCGCACGGCGGCCGGATTGTCGGATGCGTCCAGCCAATGACAGCACAGCTAGCGCGAACGTCATGATGACGCACTGGGTCTGGCAGGACGAACAAGAAAACGGGACGGGTGCCGGGAAGCCGGACGCGTGGATCCCGCTGACCCATTCGAAAAAGATGGCCCCGGCAAAGAATGCACGCGCTAACGAGAACGAGCTTCTAACTTCGCTCGTGTGAGCTAAACTCTGTCCACCCTAGCTAAACCGTCAATCTGGGACCAGAGATCTGTGAACGCGGACCTCTGCTGGAGTGCTTGGATCTCCTGGGCGGAGCCGAACGGATCGTCG